GCTTTGGGAAATAAACTGATTTAGACATGTTTGGTAGATATTGTTTTAAGACTGATCATGGTAGGAAGAGAATCTAGGGAAATTCTTTGAAAGGTTTTATAAGCCCAACTCACAAAGTTAAACCTTCCTTAGCACATTAAGGGCCAGGATTGTTATGTAATAACCTGCACAGGTGAAAGGTTCCTCAAACAAAGTACACCAGTATGTCTAACAAGTGAATGTCACCATGAGTCAGTTTCTAACAAGGCATCCACACTGATGTATTCATTTACAGTGAAAGCCTGTCTGTTAGTTTGAGCCTACATATGGATAGGAAAAGGTAAATTTTAAGAGCTAACAAACATACGTAAACACAGAATAATGAAGTAGGAATCATGTGATGCATTTTTCTGTATACATAGAATCACTTTCAATTCAGTAATTTTATTGGTCACCTGTGATGCTTAGTAAACATGTTACCTCATAGAGTCAAATTTGTCATATGCTCATTGAAGTAGACAGTAAAAACATAAACACAGAGAAAAACAACGGCAGATTGTCTTGAAAACAAGGTAGAAAAGAAAATGGGAGACAATGCTCCCTTAGACTGGGATGTCTGGGAAAGCTTTTCTGAGATTTCACTATCAGAGCAAACAAGAGTATGGGAAGAGAGCAGGGCCAGCTTTGGGTTCTGCGGCCCAATGAGGGACAGATGAACTGTGATCATATTCAAAGAACAATGCCAAGTAGCTCTCATGACTTCATTTATATTTTAAAAATTAATTTAGGTTGTTTTGTGGTGAGCACATTTTGAGAGACATCAAGAAAGTAGAAGGCTGGTTATTGGGTTCAACTTTACTGTGCATCTACATAATAAGTTTTGTCTGCCTCAAATAACCTTGAACAATCAGTCATTTATTACTCTTAAATCCAATTTAAGCTGCTTCAAATGTGCTTTTGATTGTTTTGTTTTGAAACATATGAGGAATTTACAATTATAGTATTTCAAGCAATACTGCAAAACAATTTTTTTCAAAAGTATTTTATGTCATTATTCTTATCACTGTTAATACAAAGACAAAAATAAATTTTCATTTTTCAGTACTGGTATTAATATCAACCTGATGTGAAATGACTTAAAAATGATAAATGTTTCCCTTCAAACTGGAAGATACAACATTAACTTAATTTCCCTCAATATTATAGAGAAAGCTATGTGCATCTGAAACTTTCTAATCATACATATGATAATGTGCATTTTTAAGAGATAATATTAAAGTAAAGGCTAAATACTCAACAGGGTATAAGAAAAATATTGATACCCAAAGTGGTAAATCTTAGTTTTAGATGTAAATATTTTTTGGTGTTGCTTCTGAAAATTAAACCCAGGGCTTTATCCCAGTCAAATAAATTTCTTCAAATGAGCTGTGCCTACAAGCATATTCTTGGCTTTATTTTATTTATTAGTTTTTTGAAATGAGACTTGAATATATAGCCCTAAAACTTGCACAGACAAAGATGTCCTCAAACTTAGAGTCATTTTCCACCCTCTGATTGCAGAGTGGTGGAGTGCAGTTTTGTAAAACCACAGCCTATTCCAAAGCTTGACTTTTCCAGAAAATATGTGCGACTCTCTTCCATATCAGTGGACTGCTTAATGATGAAAACACGAGTAATTTTACATAAAATGTAGCTGTTTTATTATACACATCTGATATTTAATACATATTTATTGGAAGAATAGTGAGATGCCAAATGATGCTGAAGGAAGAAAGAAAAACAAAATGCTATAGATAAAATAATTTAATAAGTGATACATATGAGTTTTTCTTTGTTTTCCAAGTAAATTATATACAGACATTTTCTTTTTTCAGACTTTTTTTGAATTGGAAACAAGATTGGTTTACATGATAATCACAGTTCCCTTCTCCCTCCCCATCCTTCCCTACCACCCCCCAACTAAAACCCTACCTATCACATATCCTTTCTGCTCCCCCTGGATAGTTAGGCCTTCCATAGGGGGTCATCAGAGTCTATCATATCCTTTGGGATAGGGTCTAGCCCACCCCTGTGTGTCTTGGCTCAGGGAGTATTCCTCTATGTGGAATGGGCTCCCAAAGTCCACACCTATGCTAGGGATATGTACTGAATTACTACAGGAGGTCCTATAGATTTCCTAGATTTCCTCAATGAAATCCATTATCCCTGTATGTGGATTGGGCTCCCAAAGTCCACACCTATGCTAGGGATAAGTACTGAACTACTACAGGAGGCCCAGTAGATTTCTGAGGTTTCCTCACAGAACCCCATGTTCCTGGGGTCTGGATCAGTCCCATGCTGGTATCCCAGCTATCAGTCTGGGGAGCAATAGTTCCCAGATATTCAGGTCAGCTGTTGCTGTGGGTTTCATCAGCATGGTATGGACCACATTGTTCTTCTGTCGTCCTTCTCTGCATCTGGATTCCAGTTCAGTTCAGTAATTAGTTGTGGGTGTCTGCTTCTACTACCACCAGCTTCTGGATGAGGGCTATCGGGTGGCATATAAGTCAGTTATCAATCTCATTATCACGGGAGGGCATTTAAGGAATCCTCTCGTCTGTTGCTTAGATTGTTAGCTGGTGTCATCTTTGTAGATCTCCAAACATTTCCCTATTGACTCAGGGGATCTTGACCCTTTCTCCTTCTCCAGGGGACCATGTGTGTCTCTCTTAAGGTCTTCCTTGTTTACTAGCTTTTCTGGCAGTGTGGATTGTAGGCTGGTAATCTTTTACTCTATGTCTAAAATCCACATATGAGTGAGTACATATCATGTTTGTCTTTTTGTGATTGGGTTACCATGCTCAGAATGGTTTCTCCTAGTTCCATCAATTTTCCTGCAAATTTCAAGTTTCCATTGTTTTTTTCTTCTGAGTAGTACTCCACGGTGTAAATGTACCACATTTTCTCTATCCATTCTTTGGTTGAGGGGCATCTAGGCTGCTTCTAGTTTCTGGCTATTACAAATAGTGCTGCTATGAACATCGTTGAACAGATGTCCTTGTTGTATGAATGTGCTTCTTTTGGGTATATGCCTAGGAGTGGAATTGCTGCATCTTGTGGTAGACTCATTCCCATTTTCTTGAGGAGTTGCCATACTGATTTCCAAAGTGGCTGTATAAGTTGGCACTCCCACCAGCAGTGGAGGACTGTTCCACTTTCTCCATGTCCTCTCCAGCATAAACTGTCATTGGTGTTTTTGATTTTGGCTGTTCTGACAGGAGTAATATGGTATCTCAGAGTTGTTTTGATTTGCATTTCCCTGATGGCTAAGGATGTTGAACACTTTCTTATGTGTCTTTCAGCCATTTTAGATTCCTCTATTGAGAATTGTCTATTTAGTTCTGTACCACACTTTTTAATTGGATTGTTTGGTGTTTTGGAGACTAGCTTCTTGATTTCTTTATATATTTTGGAGACCAGCCCTCTGTCTCCGAATGTGGGGTTGGTGAATATCTTTTCCCATTCTGTCAGCTGCCATTTTGTCTTGCTGACTGTCTCCTTTGCTTTACAGAAGCTTCTCAGTTTCAGAAGATCCCAATTATCAATTGTTGATCTCAGTGTCTGTGCTACTGATGTGATGTTCACGAGCAGTTTCCTGTACCAATTAATTCAAGGGTATTTCCAGCTTTGTCTTCTAATAGGTTCACTGTGGCTGGGTTTATGTTGAGGTCTTTGTTCCATTTTGACTTAAATTTTGTGCATGGCAATAGGCTTGGGTATATCTGTAGTCTTCTACATGTCTACATCCAGTTATGTCAGCACCCTTTGTTGAAGATGTTCTCTTTGTTCCATTGTATAAATTTGGATTGTTTGTCAATAATCAGGTGGTTATAGGTGTGTGGGTTAATATCAGGGTTTTCAACTTGATTCCATTGGTCTACCTGTCTATTTTTGTGCCAATACCAAGCTGCTTTCAGGACTATAGCTCTATAACAGAGCTTGAAGTCAGGAATGGTGATGTCTCCAGATGTTCCTTTATTGTACAGGGTTGTTTTGGCTATCCTGTGTCTTTTGTTTCTCCATACAAAGTTGAGAATTGTTCTTTCAAGGTCTATGAAGAATTGTGTTGGGATTTTGATGGAGATTGCATTGAATCTGTAGATTGCTTTTGGCAAGATTGCCATTTTTACTATGTTGATCCTACCTATCCAAGAGCATGGGAGATCTTTCCATTTTCAGGTATCTTCTTCAATTTCTTTCTTTAGAGACTCAAATTTTTATGGTACAGGTCTTTCACTTTTTTGGTTAGTGTTACTTCAAAGTATTTTATGTGTTTGTAGCAATTGTAAAGGGTGTTGTTTCTCTGATTTCTTTCTCCACCAATGTGTCATAGCTATATAGTAGGGCTACAGATTTTTTTGCTGAAGGTATTTATCAGCTGTAGGAGTTCCCTGGTAGAGTTTTTCAGGTCACTTATGTAGACTATCATATCATCTGCAAATAGTGAGAGTTTGACTTCTACTGAGACTGGGTTCACTGAGAACAAGAGAGGAATATCATAAAAAGGCAGCATAGAAAATCTGAGATGTTAGGAAAACAAAACCAGTCTTACACCTAGGGGAAAAGATTTTCACCCTCATCCATGACTTCCATGCCACTAAAACCCTAGGCACAAATGTACTTCAACAATTTACATAATCTTTTGAACTAGAATACAAATTATATTTGTAATTATTGGGAGTGACACAAACCATCACTTAACCATGGTTGTACTGTACAAACAAGTATTATAAGTTGAGCAGAAGGTACAGCTATAAGGTTGAAGATGTCAAACCTCTCCTTTTTTAGTGAGGAATTAAGCCAGTAGCAAAATATGGCTATATTAACATAGACTTGAAATTCACCAGTTAATACCATCATGTATTTATTATTTTGTCACCTAAATTCTCCTTCTTCCTGGATAATTTGATGGAATGTTACTCAGTACCACAGCAAGGAATACATGTGGAATAGAACTAATTGTCTCTTTCTCAATTTTTAAGATCCTGACTTTAAGGACCTTGGAGTTTTGAAACCATTGCCAGGTTGGTAATACAGAGGTTTGATAATATCCAGCAGTCTTTGCTTTCTGTGATGAAGTATACTTTGGGTTTATTATTCAAGCTCCATTTTTGTGTGTGTTTGGCATTTTATTGTTTAGCTTGTGAGTTTGAGATGGGCGGTCCTGAAGGAATCGTGGAGTCCATACAAATTCTGAAAGAAGGCAAAGCTTCTGCCAGTGAAGCCGTGGATTGCAAGTGGTACATCCGAGCCCCACCACGATCCAAGGTCAGTCTCAACGGTGAAACCCCCACACAACCTTGGGCGAGAGAAGCATCTAGTTCTTCCATCATCTGGTAGCACTGGGGCATGTGTCAAACATGCCATGAGTGAGCAGAATCCTGTGTTCTGAACAGAGACTTGTATCCACCTATTTAAGGTAACTTTTCAGCATGAGCCTGCACCATGGGATCTGGTTAGCAGATTGCACAAATGAGTGAAGCAAGTCTGCCTCTCTGGAACCTTGATCCCACTGTGTCAGGCTGGAGTTCTTGTTAGGAAAGATGTTAAACAAGTATCCTCATTATCAGTATATGCAGTTTTAAACTAAAGTTAAGTGTTGGAAGAAGTGGGCAGGGTTCATGAAACCATGTATTTCTAGCATGTGAAATAAAGGTATACAAGAATGGAGGTTGGGCCGGAGAGATGGCTCAGCCATTAAAGGCTAACCTTACAACCAAAAATATAAGGATAGATGTTGGTGACAAGGTATAGGAGAGCTCACATCCCTTTGAATAGAAAGGGCACTTTTTTCTGTAATTGATGACTAAGTTCCTTGTATTTTTTTATGGCAAATGTGGGGGTTATATTACCAAGCCCTTGTGTTTATCAGATACAAACACTCAATACCTATTATTGACCACCCCAATTTTTGAGTGCTGGAAAAACAATATGTCTTAAATCTTATATGCATCACAGTGACTGCAACACAGATCAGATTCACATGCATGCAAGCACTTTGAAAACGCATTTAGAACAGTGAAGAGTGAATTTATCCTGAAAGGTCTGTCTTTAGAGGAACTGCCCTATCAGTACATATTACTTATTTTCCTTTTATCTTCTTTTTATTCTCATTCCGACATATATGGTAGAGCTACAATAGGATTTATTTACTGTGTTTATACTATTTATTGAAGAAAACTACTGCCTTGCTTAATTAATTGGTTTCCTGACACTGTAAAGGCCAGAGCATTATTATCCATTACTGAAAGTACACTAGAGGGGGTAATGGATGGAAATATAGTTTCATCTGAAGAAATATTATCTTAAAAATATTTGAACCTAAGTTTGATTTCTAAAGCCAATATAAAGAGAATTTGATGCAGTGGTGAGCACTCATATTTCCAGAGCTGGGGGATAGCAAAAGACAGATCCCTGGGGTTGGAGATCCAGCTATCCTGGCCTACTTGATGAGTTCCAGACCAGTGAGAGACTGTGCCTCCTAAAAAAATTGTGACTGAAGCATGAGAAACAACTTTAAAAGCTGATCTCTGACATGTGCATGAGTGCTTTGATACACACATGCAACCTTACACGCACATATATATGGATATGGATATGGATATGGATATGGATATGGATATGGATATGGATATGGATATGGATATAAAATCCCCAGGATACTTGCCCATTTCGTCAAACAGGTAGCTGCAGAGCTTTAGAAATGATAAAAGAATAATCCTTCTCACAACTCTGATTTTTACAGGTTTCTCTGTGTGGGAGCAAATCTTTGTAAATTTTTTTGCTTTATAACAATTTGGATACTGTTTCCTTTTTCTTTTATTTCTTTGTAAATTAAAATGAATTTGATACGTGAGACTAGCAGCATAGATCTATGAACCTGTCTACTCAGCTGGGAGGCTAAGGCAAGATGGCTGCCATTTCAATAAAGGGTTATCTTAGACTAAAGAGAGAGTGAGTTTACACAGCTACATTGGACAACTTAGTGAGACCCTATCTCAAAATGAAAAGGAAAAAGGAAAACAAACAGGATGTGAATACATCTTGGTGATAAAAGCACTTGTCTAGCCTGTGGGAGGCCCTGGGTTCAAACCTCTATATTAAAATAAAATTTTAAATGTAACTATTTGGTATTTGCAATATGAAGTTTGCTGGATGATCAGAGAGCTAAATTTATCTTATGTAGGATTTTCAGGTTCTCAAGTGCTTGTTTTCCTTCACCTTTATGAATGAAAATCTTTTTTATTTTAAAGCCAACTTTTATAAACAGGAACTGTAATCATGGCACCTTGCTGTCTGTAGCTGCACCTTGTCACTTCAGTGCTACAGTGGAGTGTAAACACACGCCTCACTCTTCCAGCTAGCAAACAATCTGTCTTTTGTGTAGTCCTAGAACAACAATGCCTGGTGCACCTGCCTGTCATGGAATCTGGCAGTCTGTGGCCCAAAGGGGACACTGCCTGCAGAGCTGAACCAGGATGGTTCTATTGTGACAGTCTATTCTCTGTTCAATTAGAGGCCGAGAGGACAGGAAGTGGCATTGAATGCTGTGGAGGTAACCAAGAAACAAGATGGACTGCAATCATGGCTTCCTATTTTTGTGGATAACCTAGTGATTTGTGAGAATAAAATATCAAAGCATAGGTCAACCTTGAAATGGGTCAAGATGAATATCTGAATGATCTCTCCTGACCCTGAATAGTTACAATGAAACTGTTAAAAGAGTTTACTTCTTACGATTCAAATTTGTATACACTGCATGTTGCTTCTTAGAATTCTGAATAAAGAATATGTAGCAATATCTCCTTTATTAATGTAGAGGACCACTTTAGTTAGAAATATGACCAGCCAGCATTTCCAAGGAAAACCAGAGAAAAGATAACTTTGGAAATTGATTCATGTTGCTGCCTTTTACAAATAGAACAAGTAGAGTTAGAATAGTAAAGGTCTTATTTGAGTTAACCATGGAGAGTTCAAACAGGCTTCTATGAACGGACTTTTTATGTATGAAGATTCTAGAACAATGCGGTAGGAAAGGAGTTAATGTGTCTAGTTATATATTTTATCCAGAGAAGGGTCACCTGTAGGGAATAATAGAATACAAAACTATGGTAAGGAATTGAACTGGAATCCATGAGGGCTAAACTTTAGGCATTTGTAGATAACAACTTTTAAGTGGAGTGGCAATGCCTGCACAAAATGGGGCTACTCCCATTCAACTCTACCTGGGGAGGGCTTCTTGAGGCCTGTGGGAGTGGAATTATTAGAAGGTGTGGCCTTGTTGGAGGAAGTGTGTCACTGTGGAGGCAGACTTTGAGATCTCATATATGCTCAAGCTGTGTCTAGTGAGACAGACCACTTCCTGTTGCCTAAGGTTTAAGATGTAAGAACTCTCAGTTCCTTCACAAGAATCATGGCTGCCTGCATGATGCCTTGCTTCCCTTCCTGGTGATAATAGACTGAACCTCTGAACTGTAAGACAACCACCACAATACAAAGTTTTCTTTTACAAGAGTTGCCTTGGTCATGGCGTCTCTTCACAGAAATAGAAATCCTAAGTAAGACAAGGTCCTACCCTTCCTAAGGATCTATTGGCAGTTAAATTTGAAAGAGGAGCAGATGTCATTTTATTCTGTTGTAGCTATTGCTAAGTTGACCATGCTGTAGTAAAATAGCCCATCACTCTTGTTCCTGCAAGACAATTCAACTAAACTCAGTGGTTAAGAAAATGCATGAAAATTGGAGAGGGACTACTTGGACAAAGGGCAGTAAAGATTGGAGGGGATAAAAAATGCAAATGAAAATTTTAGTGTAGAAGATAATAGTCAAGAAAGTTATAGAATAACTTTTAAAATAAAATATTAATTGTAGAATGTGAAAATGTAGGGGGGCTACCCAAATGTTTTGGTACTTTTCGATATCTATCTGAAAATCTCTCAATAATTTTATTTCAAAATCTGCTTTGTTTATTTTTTATTTATGTTTTCCAAGTGAAGATATCCAACCTTCCAAATTCATACAATATTCTACCTGATATAATCCTGACCTGTCCAGTCACAAACAGCAACCACAAAGCCCTGGGAACAGACCTTTAGGCTGTGGTTACAATGTCAAGATGTTGAGATGAATAACACATGTCAGACCACAGATGATTCAACTTGTATATGCTGTGATTAGACTTTCTGTTGAGTCTCAAATAATTGCCTTGGCATGTGTTTTTCATATCATTATGACACAATAGGATGAACTTCCAAGCTGCTGGTATTAAAATTTCTTTTTAAACACGTTGCTTAGTAAGTTCAGCTAAATTTACTTGCTTTGCATACTAGTGCGATTTGGAAAATAGATACTCCCAGAAATGGTTTATATGTTCTGAAGCTTCCAATGTCTTGCTCAATGAATCATCCTGTCAGTTCCAACTCTTTGTGATTGATTAAAAAGAAGAAAGCATCAAAATGATTCACTGAGAAGAGATTTGTATCTGACTATTTCACTAGATTTATATATTATTTTGTTTATAATTTTCTCTTTCCTTCACAGAAGGACTAGAGAAGTTTTTTCTTCCTTTTTTTCATTTGCTACCTGAAATAAGTCTTTTCCTTGCAATCATTGTGTCACAAATCCTATACACTGACTGCAGTCATAGTGACTATCTTAGCAGTCTTTAAAATGGGACTACTTCATATTTAGGTGTTGTTATGGTTAGAAAATTGGTACTTAAGCTAAACCCACACTTGTGGTATAAAGTGAAAGCTTTTAAAATTATTGAAAGCATAGATACAGTAGATGATCAATGTTTGTTTTATTTTTATATTATTTCATTTTAATTATGTGTTTGTAAATATGTGTGTGTGCTTGTATGCATATATGTTTTTTTTTGTTTGTGTGTATGTCTCTCTGTGTGTGTTTGTGCTCAAATGAGGGCAGGTGCCTGCAGAAGCCAGAAGAAGGCATCATTTTCCATGTAGCTAGAGATCCAGGTGGATATGAGGCACCAGCAATGCTTGCTGGGAACTGAATTTGTGTCTTCTGCAAGAGCAAAATTGCTTTTAACTACAGAACCATTTTTTGCAGATGTTGGATTAATTTTCTAAGGAAATGATAATTGAATAAAATGTCTACCATATTACACTTAATATATATACTTAACACTTTTCGATGTACACTGAGTTAAAAGGCTCACATGTTGTTTCCAAAATTAAAACTTATTTATTTCTTCTACTGCATAAACAAATAACTAAATCTGTTCTCATAAAAATGCACAATGA